TCAGAATCATCAAGAAACATCAAAGGGCACAACATTATAAATTACACCAAATTGTCACATAAATGCAAATGCAACAAGACTCAAGCATGTGATACCAATCAACAAAATTTGATGGACACTGGGCCATCATCCCTCCATAGATCTACAACAGTAAGATCGATTCTACACGAGAACCGGAGCACATCAAAATACCTCACATCCGCACAATAGGACTGAAGCCGCAAGAATCAAGGTCCTGAACTGAAGCCTGGAATGCATATGAATGCATGATGCACACGTCAATATCATCCTCATAATAATCTCATTAGGTGCATCATCATTCGTCATCATAATAATCATGTCATCATAGAATCATCAAAACCTCATGGAATCAACGTCACAAATCATCACCGTCCCTCATGGGAATTCATCATGCAATCATATATTAATCTCATAAGAATCACAATTATACTCATGGGTACTCATCATACGGTCATGTATTAATCACAGCTATACTCATAGTAATTCATCATACATTCATTTATTCACATAGGAGTCCCAGTTATACTCATAGTAATTCATCAAAGAAATCACAATATCAAAACATAAAGACATCACTGACAAGATCAGAATTTGCGAAACTCTGCTACGTTCGCTAGCAAGTTCGCCAGCAAGTTCGCCATGCGAGTCTGGGGCAAATGTTCGCCGTGCGAAGCATTCTTCGCTGTGCAAACTCGCGATTACAGCAATATAGGCACCAAGATATTACGACGATATATGCACCAAATCTATGACTTATTAGTTCAATCCCGTATCATATCTACGCCTCTAATTCTCATAATTTCTTACAAATACACCACAGTCATTAAAGTTCTCACAATTCAATTTTATCTCAAATCAGGCTTAAACCTATCAAACCATCCGTTCAAATCTCTCAAACTCATTGAACTCACCATCAGAAAGGCAACAATAATTCAATCAAAATCCCTAAACCCTTAAATCAGCTTTAAACACATTGAATCACATAGTGAAAACAATGAAGACAATACTCCCCATACCTTAATTGTCGGCTCTAAGCCTTTCTCCTTGATTCTTGGAAACCTTGCGAAGCTTTTGCTTCAATCCTCTTCCTCAGAGTCCTGACCTCTATTTCTTTCCTTTTCACGGTCTAACAAGAATGAACCATAATTCCCTCAAAATCCCTTTTTGTTAAACCTAACTTTGGGCCTTAAAATTGAGCTTTCCAACTTCACCCTCACTAACTCCTCCTCAAATGTCCATTTTGCCCTTAATTCACTTATATTTATTTAAATTAATAATAATACCAATATATTCATATTATATACTATTATTTAAATAAATAATTCAAAATCCATAATTCTTAATATTCACACCAACTACCGAAAATCACCAAAAATGCGAATATTTATATTTAAATAAATTAAATGAATATTTCAAGAATTTGGGGTGTTACAGCACACACTGGTAATTCATCTGTTTGCCTCTTTCAATCATCTCTTCTTCGACCTTGGGTCCTTGATTCTGGTGCGTCTGATCATGTTACTGGTAATAAAAATTTGTTCTCTTCCCTCTCTACCTCTGGTTTCTTACCTACTATAACTTCTGCCAATGGTTCTCAAACCTGATCCGAAGAGATTGGTACTGTTCAAATTCTACCTTCTTTATTTGTTACTTTTGTCCTCTATGTACCTAATTGTCCATTTAATTTACTTTCAGTCAGTCGTTTAACTCGTTCTCTTGATTGTAGTATCCCCTTCACTAACAATAATGTTACCTTGCAGGATTGGAGTTCGGGAAAGACGACTGGCGTCGGATATGAGTCTCAAGGCCTTTACTACCTCTCATTGTCATCTCAGACATGCTCAACTAAAGATTCTCCACTCACAATCCATGCTCAATCAAAGATTCTCCACTCACTATCCATGCTCAGTTAAGTCATCCCAGTCTTTCCAAATAACATAAGTTGGTGCCAAATTTACCGAAGGTATCTAATTTACATTGTGAGTCGTGCCAGTTAGGGAAACACACTCGGAGTCAATTTCCCAATCGAGTCAACAAACGAGCTTCGTCCCCTTTTGCTTTAGTTCATACCGATGTTTGGGGTCCCTCGCGTAATGTCTCTACTATTGAGTCTAGGTATTTTGTCACCTTTATTGATGATTTTTCACATTGCACGTGGTTATTTTTAATGAAGAATAGATCTGAATTGTTTTCTATTTTTGAACAATTTTATCGAGAAATAAGAATCCAATTTGGTTTGTCTATTCGTACCTTAAGAAGTGACAATGCACGTGAATATTTATCCCAACAATTTCAAACATTTATGTCATCCAATGGTATTTTGCCCCAAACATCTTGCCCTCATACACCCCAAAAAAACGGGGTAGTCGAACACAAAAATCGGCACCTCGTAGAAACCACTCGGACCCTATTTCTCCATGGTAATGCTCCTCTCCGGTTTTGGGGAGATGCGGTGCTCACGACATGTTAATTCATAAATCGCATGCCCTCATTTGTCCTTAAATCCCTCATTTAATCTTGTTTCCAAACTCTCCACTCCACCCGTTTCCTCCTCGAGTCTTTGGGCCTTCGTGTTTTGTACAGAATCTCTCTCTTGGTCTTGAGAAACTATCAGCTCGATCACTAAAGTGTGTCTTTCTTGGCTATCATCGATCTCAAAAGGGTTATCGTTGCTACTCACATACTCTACAACGATACCTCGTATTTGGCCGATGTTACCTTCTTCGAGTCTGTTTCATATTTCGAGTCCAGCCAAGTAACTACGGAACCTCTACAGGAAAGTATTCCCACACCTTTTCCAGAAGTCCCATCTGTCATTATCCCCCATCATTCTAGGGAACCTGACCCATTAGATACCCTTACGGTTGACCCCCTCACTCCTCGCCCACTTCAAACATATCAGCGTCGTCACCCAACGTCTGTCGTATCTGTCCTTGAAGTCGTATCTGTCCCTGAGGTCACTACGGACTCTCCTCCGACGCTCTCGCCATCACCGGATCCGATCCTGCAACCTGAGTCTGATCTTCTGATTTCCCTTCAAAAAGGTATACGTCAAACACGAAATCCTTCTCCACATTATATTGATTTATGTTATCATTGTCTTTCTCCTTTGTAGTATACTTGTTTGTCGTCTTTGTCATCTGTTTCTATTCCTAAAACTCCAAGTGAAGCATTATCTCACCCTGAGTGGAGGCAAGCAATGATTGATGAAATGTGTGCTCTTCAAAGCAGTGGTACCTGGGAACTGGTTTCTCTATCTCATGGGAAATCTTTAGTAGGTTGTCGTTGGCTTTATACAACGAAGGTTGGTTCAGATGGTAAGATTGATCGATTAAAAGCTCACTTGGTAGCTAAAGGATACACTCAGATTTTTGGGTTGAATTATAGTGATACCTTTTCGCCTGTAGCCAAGATGACATCTATTAGACTTCTTCTAGCAATTGCAGCCATTCGACATTGGTCTCTTCATCAACTTGACATCAAAAATGCATTCTTACATGGTGATCTTGAAGAAGAAGTATATATGGAGCAACCACCTGGGTTTGTTGCTCAGGGGGAGTCATCGAATATGGTTTGTAGGCTACACAGGTCTCTTTATGGTCTTAAGCAATCTCCGAGAGTTTGGTTTGGCAGATTCAGCACCGTAGTACAACAATTTGGTATGATCCGTAGTGAAGCTGACCATTCTGTTTTTTATCGTCACTCACCCAAGGGTGTATTTATCTTATTGTGTATGTAGATGACATTGTCATAACTGGTAGTGATCAGCAGGGAATACTCCAGTTGAAACAACATCTCTCGAAACAATTTCAGACAAAAGATCTTGGTAAACACCGCTATTTCTTGGGTATTGAAGTAGATTAATCTAAAGATGGTTTGGTGATTTCTTAGCGGAAATATGCTATGAATATTTTGGAAGAAACAAGTTTGTTGCTTTAAACCAGCCGATACTCATATGGATCCAAGTGTTAAACTACTACCCAATTAGGGGGAGCCTCTATCTGACTCAAGAAGGTATAAGAGATTGGTTGGAAAGTTGAATGATCTCACAGTCACTCGTCCGGACATTTCTTTTGCAGTCAGTGTGGTAAGCTAGTTCTTAAATTCTCCTTGTCAGGAACACATGGATGCCGTTACCCGGATTCTGAGATACATCAAATGTGCTCCAGAAAAAGGTCTTGTGTATGAGGATAAAGGACATAAGCAGATAATTGGATACTCCGATGCTGATTAGGCAGGGTCACCCATTGATAGACGATCCACCTCTGGGTATTGTGTACTTGTTGGAGGAAACCTTATATCCTGGAAAAGTAAGAAACAAAATGTAGTTGCAAGATCAAGCGCCTAGGCAGAGAGTATAGGGTCATGGCAATGGCAACATGTGAACTTATTTGGTTAAAACAATTGCTCAAGGAACTTCAAATTGAAGAAGTAAGACCAATAACACTTATTTGTGATAATCAAGCTGCATTGCACATTGCTTCAAATACAATCTTCCATGAGAGGACCAAACATATTGAGATAAACTGTCACTTTGTCAGAGAGAAGATCGAGTAAGGCGACATCGTCACAAGCTTTGTCAACTCTAATGATCAATTGGCAGATGTGTTTACAAAATCCCTACGAAGTCCCAGAACTAATTATATATGTAACAAGCTTGGTGCATTTGACTTATATGCTCAAGCTTGAGGGAGAGTGTTGATATTTGTAAATATATAGTGTTAAGAATATTTGTATATAGAATAGTCCCACATCGACTATATCATGTAATTAGTTGTAATCTATCTATATATAATAATGTCTCCGTAGTGTTTTTCAAAACACACGGTTTATTCAAATGTCTCTTAGTCTCTTGTATTTTAACATGGTATCAGAGCCTGGTTTTGTAGGGTTGAGTTATGCCCAACCACATTTCTAAACAGTTTTTGTGAAGAGTATTTTTTTGTATTCTTATGTTGCTTTTGTGATTTGATTTTAAGGATCGAGCAAATGAGATATATAAGAGGGTTGAAGACCAAAAGTCTAGTCGAGGAAGAAATCAAGATGCTTTGTTGGCTGCTTGTATCTACATCGCTTGCCGACAAGAAGACATACCACGAACTGTAAAGGGTACATCCTATGATTCTTTTAACATCTGGATGCTTCCCAATTTATCTTTCCCTATGTAAATGAGCTTCCCTGAACCTATGGATTTCAAATAGAAATTTGCTCTGTTGCAAATGGGGCGTCAAAGAAGGAAATTGGCCGAGCAAAAGAGTACATAGTGAAGCAGCTTGGTTTGGAGAAGGGTCAGACTGTGGAGATGGGCACAATACATGCTGGTGACTTTATGGTGAGTTTCCTTTCTTGATTTGTAGCATATCTTGCTTTTGCAAGTATTGTTGTTTATTAGTGAAGACATCTCATCTAAAATTTGACTGGATTTCTTAGATGTTACTAACCATTTTCATCTTAAACTTTAGAGGAGATTCTGTTCAAATCTTGGTATGAATAATCAAGCTGTTAAAGCTGCTCAGGAAGCTGTGAAGAAATCAGAAGAATTTGATATAAGGTATATTCGATTTACTTTGATGCTAATGTAATTATGTTTATAGTTACAGCTAAAAACTTAAATTTAGTGTCTTGAGAGGGAAAATTGTTGGGATAATTAACACACAGGAGTCAATATGTGTGTTGCATCTGGTTGAGAAGTGGAAAATGTGGTATGAGAAATGGGTGATTTATGTGTAAGGTAGGAACACAACAGTCAAGGGTGCCTATAATAGCATTTGTGTATGAAATTGAAAACTATAGTTGCCAATAGAGGCGCCCAGCACAGTTATTGATTGCCCAACACGGTGCCGTGGTGTAGACAGTGGTCAGGGGTGCATGATCATTAACATAGTATAAAAATATTCAACAACTGAACATAGGGTTACTAAGGAGAGTTACTCTAACAAGAGTCATCGGTTAAAGTTGTATAGATATACAAAAAGATTAACAAATTTTACTACTTTTGATAAAATTAGTTATCTTTTTAAAAAAATATATCATTACCTTTTTATTATCTAGTTCTACTTAGTTCGTTATCTACAATAAATCATTAAGATTAATTTTTATAAAATAATATTTAATGTTGCTTTAAATTTTAAAAACCACAACTAAATAGAAACATAATCTTTCTACAAAAACAATTAAAAAATGGAGAAGATTCATATTATAAATTTACACATTTTACATTAAACATCCTTTATATTTCACTTATTATGCCCATTACACGAGCACGCACACACATATTCATATCAACGTATGCTACAATCTACATTGCACTCAATAGTACTCGAATGGCAAAAGTGACTTCTGTACCTCTCAATTAACCAAGTTTGATACCTATGAAAGCCATCTTTCTCAGTGCGTAAAGTTGAGGAGAATGCCACGGGTTCAAAATTCGAAACTTCAAGGGGTTGCTAATTAAATAAAAATTAAAATATGGGTGCAAATTTAAAAAGGTGAGGGTGTGCAACTGCACCCTGACAACAGTGTGAGTCACCCCTTTGTTTCAAATGGGGGTAGCAGCCATCACAGCCACTTTCACGAACAGATTGCACAGTTAGCGGTGCTAGGCAGTGCAAAGTGTTTTTGAAAATGAGAGAAAATTTTTGTTGCTCTGAATGGCAATGCCTGCATTTTCCGCAATGAATATCTTATTTTCTAGGAAGATCTATATGTTGCATCCACAAATATCTAGCTTTTCTGACTAGTTGTTTTGCTTGCTGTTTCTGTTGTGGCACCTGCTTGTGTTACATGTGCAGCAGAGGCTGCATTTCATGTTGAAGGAAGACTAGGTCTAGGTTAAGTTAATGGAGATGACTTATATAGGCCCTTTAGTGTAGAGGCCCAATATATTTAAAATGTATTAATTAAAACAATGGACTATAAAAAGAAGAATGGTTAAAAAACAGAACACGGGAATTAAATATCTTGCCTTTTATTTGATGGTAACACTCAAAGGAGAATATTGCAGCTGTTTGAGAAGTTATAATATGCATTGTGTCATAATTGCACCGTTCTCTGCATATATGAAATTGCTCCACCTTGTTATGTTTTATAATCGTCAGAAAAACACACTGCTCTAACTTATAGTAGGTTTCATAATTGTCAGAGAAACTAACACGTTATTATCTTCTGATGATCAGTACTAACAACGTCCTTAATCTGTCAGGAGGAGTCCTATATCAATTGCTGCTGCAGTTATATACATCATAACTCAGCTTTCTGATGATAAAAAACCTCTCAAAGGTATGTGACACTCCTTCGTGGGTAGTTGAGATTCGATATTAGATGGCATCGAGGACAAATCAATTAGTTTTTAAATTTTTTTTTAATAAGTAGTCTCTTCAATCAATGTCATTGGTTCTGCTGAAAATTTTATATAATTTAGAATGTCTGAAACCAAATTATGGATACAACAATTCTGCTAACTTCTATGCTATTTCATTCATACATGTACCTGACTTGTTGTCTTAATGCAGATATATCAATTGCCACTGGAGTTGCTGAAGGAACTATTAGGAACTCTTACAAGGATCTTTATCCCCATGTTTCAAAAATAATACCAAATTGGTATGCAAAGGAGGAGGATTTGAAGAACCTTTCTAGCCCTTGAATTATATAGAAAAATCATCCCAATTTGTGTCATTAAATCTGTTTGGATTCACTGAACTGTTAATTACATTGATAGCTAGGCACCATATAATGAACGAATTCTCGACTTCGGTGCAGTACAGAAGAGTTTATATTGTATGAACGTGAACTCACTTGCATTGCTGTGTGTTTTGTTTTTGCCTCTTGATTTGAATTGTTCAGTTGTCTTTGTTGCATATTACTACAAAATATACGAAACTCTTCACCAGAAAAAGAAACGTAACTATGCTTCAAAACTAATTAGATGCTACAAAATATATGTTGGTTCAATTGTTAAATGCAAGCAATCATTTTGAAATAGATTATTCGGGAAGGAATTGTACGACATTTGCACAACCTAGTTGATTACATCCGGTTAGGATTCCTACAATTACTCTTGCTCATGTTTAGAGTGTGGATGAGATATTTTAATGAAGAAAAATATTATTTTAGGGAATTTAAGATATGATTAGTCCAAAAAGTATTGTTGGGTGGGTATTTTTGATTGACCAATTTGAGGGATTTTAAGTTATCCTCAAACCAGATAATTTTAGAAATCCCCAAAGCCCCCACATCGCTTCTCTCATTCTCTCTTCGGTTGCTCCTCTATAGTTCTCTCTATTATCTCTGCAGGTGACCACAGTTCTTATGCAAGTCACGTTTTTCTTGAAAAGGTGGGTTTCGGTCACTATTTCTTCTATTCACTTTATCAAATTATTAGTAGAAGTATAGCAATGTTAACTCACCTTCCGCAAATTAAGTTAGATAATCTTGCAAAATTTTGATTCGATTTGGCTTTTATGGTTATGTTGCATTAACAACTTCAACTTTGATGTTGTGAATTTGTAGATAGAGGGAAGCATAATATATTTGCCAAATTGGCCCTCAAAAGTTTATTTATTTATTTATTTTTTATATATTTATTTTATGTTGTTTCATGCAAAGACATTCAATGCTGATATTCCACCTCCTAATAAACCTGCATATGAGGAGCTAGAAAATCTGGGACAGTTTGGTACCCAATGTGGAATATAACAAGGCATTGTCAAGCAAATTGACAACTAGACTGGTCCTAAGATTGGTTATGAACAAAAATGGAACATTTGAAATTCTTCTGTCTCAGGCTTGAAAACATGGAATTTATCTAGTTCAATGTTTCGGTTATATATTGGAATGTTCATGGTTGGTTTATTCAAATAACCAATCCATATCCAAAACAAAACCATTTATTTTAACCGGTTATTATAACCAATTCATATAATTGGTTTTGTTTTTATAAAACCGGTTATATCCATAACTAAATTTTATAACTAGTTATATATTTTATATCCGGTTTTAGAGTTCATATCCGGTTTTCAACTTAAAACCGGATTTGGATATAAAAATCCAGTTTTTAAAACTGGACATTCATGTTTTAACAACTGGTTTTTCAGCTAAAATCGGTTTTTGACTTAAAAATCCATTTTTTATAAATGAATTAAAAAAAAAACTAGAAATGAATTGGTCAAAACTTTCAAGTCTCAACAGCTTCGAGAGAATAATTGAACATGAAATGAATTTAAGATAACAAAAACCAGAAGTAGTACAATGATTCTTTCTTTGTATAATTACAAAATCTGTCTTACAATTACACATTAAGGAAAAGAAACATCCTAATCAAAAGAAGAAGAGGTTGAAGAAGAACCAAAACGAAAATTCCTACTTCTCATATCTTCAAAACTCATACCATTTTGTGATAGAAACCGCTTCGTCGTTCTCGTCAGCACAACGGCGTACTCTTCTAATATCTTTGACATTATCGCCACCATATGCAACTTATAATTCTCAACTTCATGTTCACTAAAGATGCTTATCCTGAAAACCAACCAATGCCATTCCTGATGATCCTCCACATACATAAATATTCATACAATAGTGAGAATCACATGAAGCATAGCCAACTCAAAATCATCTAACATTTTGATTAAAAAAGTTCTGAAAACGGAAAAACACTGCAAAGTTCTGAATGGTAGCTTGCCAGGATTCTATGTGTCGCTTCCGCGAAAATAAGGTGCCGGCAAAACAGAAGAGTCGCCACCTTTCGTTATTTATCCCTCGGAGCGGGAAAGGAAACGATAGGAAAAACCTGACGAGAAGGTATAAGACAAGGTCATCGCAACCATTGTCTGGGTTCGGGAGTCGGTTATGCAAGGGGAAGGTATTAGCACCCCTCACGTCCATCGTACTCGATGGGATCCACGCTCGTGGTGTTTACTGGACGGGTTGGTTTTATCTACCTACCTATCAAGGCTGGTCTAAAAAGAAAAGAAAATGACTCGGCAAAGCATCACACTTTATGCCTACGTATTTTCATCAGAGAATGAGAAATCTGAGTCAACGTAGTTCGGCTAACTACGGGTTACGGGGTAGGTGGCTCGCCAATACATCAGTATTGTGCCTACGTACTCTCAACAGGTATGAGAGATCAGAGCTTACGTAGTTCGGGATAATACGGATTACGGGAATTCAGATTCATCTGTTTTATCGAGTAGGGTTAACAAACAGTTCCAGCAGTTGGATGTACGCAGCTCGACCCTTGGAGACTTATGCGTTACCGTTTGCGGTAGAACTGAGAGTTAACGACACTCTTTTCTTCAGAAAAGCTTCCCGTGAATTATGGGCCCACGGGGCAAAAAGGTTTGAAGTTTGTTTTCTGTTTTTTACGAAAGAACTATTTTTTATGTTTGTTTGCAACTAGTATCGCACTAAAGACTATGACCTGAGAGTGAATGTGTCGCATGTCACCCAAAGGGTACCATACTAAACATCCAGACTGTTGAAAAGAAACTCTCCAACAACCCTTTCTCAGATAGCTTAAGGCTCGTAACGTACGACGTCAGTTAACCTTTATTACTGCATTTTGATGTTGTTTGAGATGAGAAGAGAACAGGCTCAACTAAGGGGAAGACTATCAAGTCCTAATGTGGTCATGCCAAGGATTCATCCTATGGTTGAGGTTTGAAACAGGGAACTCCTAGAAGTTATCATGCACAGGTTTCAACCTAAAGCTCTAATCATCACTTCCTTATCAAAGGAAGTGAGATTCCTAGGGGATCATGTCAATGGTAAACAGAAACAGATAAAGCATCAGCTTAAACAGTAAACAGTAAACGACTGTAAAATGCATGCAATGCAAGTGAGGGAGGAAATGTGTGTGGGGCATCAGCCTCCACAAGCTCATCTCAACCTCAAGCCAGATATGAATAACTGCAATCATACAGAGGAAATAAAATATGCTATCAAGCAAAAATAAGATAACTGCAATCATACAGAAGAAATAACATGCTATCAAGCAAACACAAACCACACGGGCAAGGGAGTTGGGCTCTACCGAATACCCGCAAGCAAAGCCACACAGTAAAAATACAAGCAGAGGGAGCAACTCAATCTCTAGTGCAATCATGCTCCTAGCTTAAGTCAGTCTAAATATGGACTTATTCTAATGCATCAAGCAAATCAAACAAGTCATACCAATACAGTTGCATAGAAAGCAAACAAACAGAAAAGAAAAGAAAGCAGATCAACCACTCCCACAGCTTCACAGCAAGGCCTTTCTCTGATATCAGCTCAACCACCCTTCAAGGCTATCATCTTCAATAGCAAGTATCAACTTGCTTCTACAAGCTTCTAACACAAGCAACAACTTATTCTTTCTTCTTCAAGCTTCAGCTCTTCAGTCAATTCCACCTTCAGGCTTCATTCCTAACTACAAGTATCAACTTGGCTCCTTCAGGCTCTCAGTGTACCAACATAAGTGTCAACTTATCCTTTATTCTTCAAGCCTCAGCTCTTCAGTCAATCTCAATTTGATCTTCTTCACAAGTGCCAACTTGTTCTTCAAGCTTCAGCTCTCTCTCCTTTACCAGTATCAACTTGTTCCTCTTCATCTACAAGCTTCAGCTTCTAAGGGTAATCTTCAAACACAAAGAAGTATCAACTCCATCCTTCAATCTTCTTCAAGCAGGGAACTCCATCCTCTAGCAAGGGAGAAAGATGCATCTATCAAGAGCAAAGTTGGGATGATTGGTAGCAGGGTGAAGACCAAAGGTCACCACTAAGCATCCTGTCATCAGAGAAAGGGACCCTCAAAGGTTCTACCAACTTGCAAAGAGCCACACATCCTACCAAAGGAGGGATGAGGCCTTTACAAGGGGACCTTACATCATAGGGAAGAATGGAATTGGTCAACATATTCCATGTTTATGAAGGAAGAGAACTATCTAGAAGCTATGCCTACAAACCCTAATCTTAACACCTAAACGATACTACACCAAAAGAAGGGAAGATCTTCACATCCAAGCCTCTTCAAGAAATCCAATGCATCTTAAACTTGTCTTCATCATCATCCAAGAACAAGCAAAGCAACACCCTAATCTAAGGGAACTAAAGATGTCAATCTAGTTGAGTTAGTGCATTAGAATCATCTAAAACTAGCACCTAAACTAAAATCAAGCAAAAATAGTAAACTACCTTGTAAATTCCTACAAAAATTCCTAAGGGACTCTAATTCAATCATGAATCTACCCTACAAAAATCAGAGGTTGAATCATCCAACTAGTTACAAAAATAAAATCTAAACCACAAGGTGTCAACCATAAACCCTAAAAATGGAGCATCTAAAGGTTTCAATCTAAACTACCACTTATATTCATCACAAAAATGTGAGAAAAATCTATGGGGAGCATGCATATCTATGCTAACTACTCACAAAAAATCAAGGCCAAAATCAGCATCACATGATCAAACCAAATTCACCAATATCAAGCATCAAACATAACTATTTTAATATCAATTAAAATGTAAAAATTCCCATAAAATCAGAAAATGCATGAAATAAAAATATTTTTTATCTAAAAAATAATAGATCCTATCATGAATCCAATGCAAAAAGAATGGGATCAATTGAATTATTTTTCCATTTTTTATGATTTTATCAAGAACCAT